GTGATCGTGACGATATTGACTGTATGTCACCATAAACAACAACATACAAATTCGAAAAAAAACTAAAAAACAGCTTAACGTAAACCCGAAAAAATTAGAGAAAAAATGGAAGAACAAAACTGCATCATTTAACCAAACGAAAATAAAACGTGGAAACTCACGATCTGAGCCTGGAAACAATGTTCGTCCTGTGATGAGTTCTGCCAAAATGCATCCGACAGACCAAATGTCGACTGAAGTGCAAAAAGATTAACTTCATCTATACGCATAATAATAAATTCCATTCCATGTTAGGTCGTAGTTGGTCAGTGAGGATGGCAAGGGCACAGGATAGAACCCTTCACCCCTTCCCTAGTGATGTTAGCGCAGCATTTCCACTTTCTGGCAATATCCCCTAATTCCAGAACTTGAACACAATTGAAAAAAAAACTAAGTGGAAAGCTGTTTTGTATGATAACTGCTGTTTTACGCCGCAGTACGCGTTCCGAAAGTTATCACAAGAATGCTGAGTTATGGGCAAAAGTCGTGCCCCAGGCGGGAGTCGAACCCGCACCTCACGCTTTCCGGGCGAGTGCGCTATCCGTTACGCCACCAGGGCCGCTTTTACCCTCTCAGCTTAACGGCTTATGCCGTAGCCTTACAGCACTCACATTTAGCATGGTGAGCCGGTCAGCCGTAAGTGGAAAGCTACAATCGGAGGGCGGCGATCGAAACTATTCACACCTTACTCATCTATTTTCATACCCAACAAAGCAACTGGTTAACCGGCTTAATACAGAAGAAAAAATCAAGTTTCCCAAACTGGGGCAGAACGAACCTGTTTGCGAGTAGTGCATCCAATTGAGCATAATTTCGGGTGCTCGATACCATCGAGTCGCCACATACCCTGTCATTTCGTTGTCTGTTTGTCGTGCGAGGCCAAAATCAAGGATCTTAAGCCAAATCAATCTCGAAATAATACTTTGTCTATACTTGTACATATTTGCAGCGTTGACCACCTGTTTGAGGCGAACTTACCTTTAGCTCACAATCCTCATTGACGGCGATATTTGAAGGTTTCAAATCACGATGAATTATGCCGGCGGAGTGAATGTACTGAAAATTTAACGGTAATGTGCAGCCGAAATAGGGTATAGCATTCTCCTTTTTGATTTTTCAAAAACCCAAAATAGTGGAGTGCGAAGCCCATCAGATACGAGAAAAAACGGCAGAGGAAAGCAAGACGGAGAAGGTTTACCACACCTGTGTCTGAATTAAGGGAATCACTCATAGATAAACCTCACGATTACATATTGTGGGTAGTGGCTTTTAAACGACCCCGTAGTTGCTGAGTGGCTCTCTGGGTAAGAAAAAACCATGGAGAACAACGTAAGGACCCTCGACAGCTCGTAAGAGCTGCACGCACCTACTTCTTTTATACCAGAAAAGCGAAAAATTCGCGGCCTCAGGCTTACTAATCGTTTCGTTGCGTCATCCAGGGCTAATATCGTTTAATAGTAATAGGCGTCAGAACTTCCACGAATGAGGGCAGCTCCGCCTTCGTTAGTTACTCACTTTCGAGCTTCGAAAGTAGGACAGTCCCAGTGGCTGAGGGACAGACTATTCATACAAATAAGGACGCCTACAAATTGCTTGAGCGTGGGACCGTCTTCAAACAGTTTCTCCCTCTCCAGAATTTCTGTTTTCTGAGCTTCGGAGGAACGTCCGGGCAGTGGCAACATGGTGTAGGGCAGCTATGGTTACATGCGCTGTATTCCCTGCAGTACCCAATTGGTTCAATATGGAAATCAGGGCACAGCGTTCGGTGGGGATTCCCTATGGGGGAGGGGTCGTATTTGGCCGCCAAAAGGGGGGGTCGTATTTGGGCTGGGAAAAATTTATTTTTATAGTTGATTTTTCTCGCTTTGCGGAACGTTTTTGGAGGGGGGTCTATTTTCGGCTAGGAGTTACGTGGTTCACTTCATGGGTTTTATGAATTTTCTGTGTTATAGGTACTATGTACGCCCGTACGATGTACGTCGCATGCCTACTACATACCCTCCCGTCCCTCCCCCGCTCGACAACTTTTCGCGTCTCGAGTATAAACCACAATACCACAGTTAGCCATGTCAGCCAGTCGTAAACGAGCATGGGAGGGGGGGGGCGGGGTCGTAGGGCAACCAGCCTGAAAAAGGGAGGGGGGGGGGTCGTAAAAGCTCGACCAAAATCCCCATCGAATGCTGTGCCCTGATGGAAATGACGCAGTATCTCGAGCCAGCTAACTGGAAAGATAGGGTTCTGTGAGTCGCCGCAACAGAGGCGTTCCAACCAACACTGTTTCTTTAAAGACAGCTCGCGATGAAAGTGTCATGGATAGTTGCTTTTCAATTATGAAACAGTAGCTGATAAGTAATTCCCCAAAAAGAAAAAAAGGCAAAAGTCCTCGAGAACACCGTAAACAAAATCCCTTACAGTCACACCGCCCTGCGGTCTCTGTGCAACCCCTGGCTCACAAATCCTTTATCACATCTCCCAGTAGTGGATATCATCCAATGCAAAGAAAAGAATACGAAAAACAACAAAAACACGGAAGAAAAACTCTTGAAAAGGAAAAGAAACTTTAAAAACTCGGCGTCCGAATTTAGGGTTACGGTAGCGTGCATCTTTTAGTGTAGTGTAGTGCGTCGAGCTTTTGCACCACGAAAATTGGGTCGCTCGTGATTTTTACGCCTTTTACCTTGCGAGATGGGTTGGAGTTGACTGTATGTGCTCCCAATGAATAAAATGTAATAAAGGAGAGCAGAATTATTCATGGGCACGAGCGCGGTCAGCAAAAAGGGCATGCAGTTCCGATTAATGCCCGCCGCCCCAACAAAGAACAACTGAGCGGCCCTCCGTCAGAGGGCATCTAGCAAGTGGGCGGTCCAACTGGGCGGGCGTTAGAACTTTCAGCGGCTGTAGCTCGCTCCTCGCTCGCTGTGGAGTCGAATAGAGTGGGACAGTCTCTAGCTTGGGGGCTGTACTACTTGCACAAGGAAGGACGACCATGTACTACTTGAGCGCGGGGCTGTCTTTAACATCTCACGGCTCATTTCTATTCGTTCTCCTTCGGACCAACTTCTACAAATCACACCACCATAAAAGAACTCCTTCGCACGACTCAAGATATCTGTCAACCGCAGTGCTATCCTCCTCTTCCCTTCTTTTCCTTCCTTCATTCATTCTCTCTTTCCCGTGTCTCGTTACACGTGCTTCAAGGGTTCTGCCACTAGATACGATGAGAAAATACCTTGGACCATTGCAGCGAGACAACGTCCGGTTGACAAAAGCCCTCTAACTTTCGTACAAAAGCTAGGAATCACCTTCAATCCTCGAAGTGTTTGATAGACTAGAAATTGGATATGATCATCATTAAGTCGTTGAATCTTGAGAATATTCGACAAATCAGCACCCATGAGCATTGAAACAAAATACCTAAAGAAGAAACAGTAGGTGGAAACCAATACGGAATATGTTGCTGATTGATATGGCAGTGTTTTGAGGGGTGGGCATGGTAGTTTGCTAGTTCCTTTCCTCATCTCGGTGAGACGTGCAACATCTAGTAAAGCTGTGAACTTCAACAAGGTTCATCACTACGCCGACGATGCCTGCAAACTACTGTAAACCGAGGAAATAGTAGAAATAGTACGAGCTTCATTAATTGAGGCGGTCTCAGCTTTACAACGTTCCAAGTCTTCACAAGCTGGCCTGTGCAAACTTCGCTGATACCATTTATCGCAAGAGTTCACAGGTTTCCACATCGAGGAGTAGCATGATGCCCCTTCTCCTCCCCCCCCCCGAGCCGAACAACGCCATTGGATCTTTCTAGATGGCATAGAAGGAAAACTCTAGAAAAACTTACACATCAGTCAGTTGTTCACAAGAAGCATCCGGAGTGAACACATCTAACATATCAATAACATTTTCGTGATCCATCCCGCGTAAAAGGCGAAGTTCCCTGCAACACAACAAGATTTTTTCAAGTTTTTATTATTATGTACACTAAATGGGGACAATGCAGTGGCAAGTGGCACATTCAGCTCGTAAAAGGGCACGTTCAGCACGTGCGCCAACACGAGG